GCCCTCAAGATGAACCGCTCCATAATCTTCCCCGGCACTGAGGTCGGGCTGACAGGCCTGTAGTTCCCTGGATCCTCCTTCCAGCCCTTCTTGTAGATGGGCATCACATTGGCAAGCCTCCAGTTGTCCGGGACCTCCCCCGTTAACCAGGACTCTTCCACGTCTTTATCCTAAACGGAGATCATGGTTACCAGCTGTGAAATACAGAATATTCTATTATATATAATAGAATTTATATGTGTCTATAAATAGGTGTATATAAAAATGTGTATATGTATTTTATGTGTGTATATATCTGTATGAAATATATATTCTGATTATAATCAATGTTTGCGAGGTGTTAGGTAAAATTACTGTTGGTTTGGGGTTTTTTTTCCCCTGAATAGTAGGTCTATAATCTGTTTCTAGGACCTAGTTTCCCAGATTTGCCAATTTTTGCTGTGACCCAGACTAGCGTACTTCAATTCCTGTATGCTTCCAGACTGCTTAGGGAACAAACCTCACAGACATTTTTTAATAGTAATGAGATGAGATGCATCTCATTATGAATGAAATTGCGTATATAGAATATACAAACGTAAAGCGATATAGAGTAATACTGAACTATTCGGTAGGTTATAACACACCAGCAATATATACGTTTACCTTCGGGATTTTGAGCAGCTTTCCAATGCCATGGAATTTCTTCTTCTTTCAAAGTTTTGGCTGTGATGCCTGCTGTCAAGCCTTGACTCCTGATGGTACTATACTGACTGGTATAGAAAGACCAAAAACATGTTAAGGCTGGTTTTTTGTTTTTTTTTTTTAACACTGTTGCAATAAGTACCAGCAGATTCTGTAAGATAAGGGTGAATGTAACATGATGCCCTAAGCCATTCTCCCCTCTGAAGAAAGTTGACAAAGGACGGGCAAGAATGCAGCCGCCTTCTCTTCACTGCATCATGTTACGCTGTCTGAGAGCCTGAGCGCAGAAGCTGTGGTCTCCCCGGAGTAATTGTTGGATGCTGGAAAGAGCGCGTGTGGTTTCCGTGGTTGATCTAGCCTCAACTCTGGAAAATAATACAAAATCACTGCTGCAGAAGTGATTGACCCGTTTATGCAATTTTAGAAAGGTACATTAAAATCAAGTCTTGTTTTCATTTCATCATGAAAACTTATTTCTGAAACACACGCTAACGGTGTAATTTGCATCTGTTTCAGCATTATCAACACCTGGTTAAATGCTGCAGCTTTTTTTTTTTTGCTTTTTTTTTACCTCCTTCCAATTTGGCTCATTTTATGTTGATCTGAGCTGTAGTCTGAACTGCTGGTTGCATTCGAGGGACTTCTCCCAGCTGCGAGAGAGGGCCAGAGGAGGGCTGTTGGGCTTGCTGATGGTTTGGCCTCAGGATAGCAATTCTTAGACTTAGTGGTTGCAATTCACAGTCCTCAGTTCACCAGATAAGGTTTGCTAGAGAAGAATCCTAAAAATAAATTTCACTGTGATCCTTTGGCAGTAGAAGCTGACAGTGTCCTGAAAATATCTAAGGAGCTTATTTAATTAATTTATATTTATTTCTTTTCTGTGTTGTTTCCTATCAGAGCCAAGAGCCACCTCTGCTATCCTTACTCAGGTCGCCTCTCAGATTAATGCTGTATCAGTCTCTCTGTGGTTTCTGCTTCAGTTTCACAGGAAGAGTCAAGTTCCTTTGGAAAATAGGGCTACACGGAAAGAGCCATACCTTTTTCTTGGCAGTGTCCTGAGAAGGAGATGAGGTTGCTCCGGAATGGTCAGTCTTGAAGCATTTCAATATTTACTGTACGTGTATACATATGTAATACAGCTTTTGAGAGTTGCTTACCATTCCTTGAACTGTTTAGCTGCCTGTTGATCCCTGATGAGCACGTAGAGTCAACTGTGAACAGTCGAGAATTTTTTTCCTAGTTTTCAAAGTAGTTACTAGGACAGAATATCATCCACTGACCCTAAAGAGCCCCAAACACAAGCCTGTGCTTTGACTTCCCCAATCCCTGTCAGCTGAACTGGAGCTCCCTCCCTGCCCTCAATTCCAGAAGAAAAATGGTTTTCATTGAAAAGTCTGATTGAGATGTTTAGTTTTTTCGTCGATACTTTTCGTATTCCCAATAAAATAATGCAGTTTGGTCCTTTTGTTGTAGCTTGAAAAAACATCTGAACAGCCCATTATAAATAAAAACAATCCATTTCAAAACATGTATTTAATGCACATACAACTGCCTGACACCAGTAAGAGCAATATTTCAGCCGTGCCTGGCTGGGATGCAGTCACATAATTTTAGAGCTGGTAATCACAGTCAAGGTACACCTCAACTGTGTTTGCATCTCTTTAAATTGTAGGGTAGGATGTGTGTCCACAAGTGTGTGTATATATATCTGTTTTGTCATAGCACAGGTTTTGTGCAATCAGATGTTGAAAATAACACAATTGTGCTAGTAAGTATCCACGCTGGCAAGGTTTTCGCTGGTCCTGCTCTGTAAGGTGAGCCCTAAATTCCATCAATGGGAGTGACGTGCAGCAGAAGCCTGAATTTACATCACCAAAATGATGTGTTAACAAGCTTGTTAACAATACGGGGGTTCATATGTGTGAGGGAGTACTGTGAATAAAATCCAGCTCGTGTCTTGACAGGCTGTAGATAAAACTGTGTTTCTAAATGCGTGCGTGTGAATGTAAGAGAATAGAAAGGGTAGCGCACCTTGTAATGTAGGTTAAAATTGAGCACTTGATTTTGAGAGGATGTAATTTGCTTGTTGAGAGTTTGTGTGAGGCCAGTAGGACACAATGCATTTCAGAAGAGGGTACGTTGCGCTGTATCTCAGGACTGATCTAAACTTGTCCTAAACGGAATGCTCGTTCGGGTGGTCTGGCTGGCTCATTAAGTATTGTAAGTTTTAAGTGGTGTCAGCTTTCTAGTGCCTTTGTGAGGCAGGGAATTATTCACACTTTATTTTTACGTAGGGCACAAAGAGTAAAGGTGACACACTCAAAGCTTGCTACAGCACATTAACCATGGATGGATCTTGATGGTTACTTTCCTGTTGTTACTGGTAAACCATTCCTTAAAAATACTTGGTTTTACTTTTTGCCTTCCCAGTCTGAGATCTCACATTGTGCCGGTTTTTAGAAACGATCGTCCCTTCACCTGAGGGTAAAAATGAAGGATGACAGCTTGTAATAACGTGATGTGGTCACCCAGTGATCACCTCTCCTTAAAACTGGTAATTCCCCAGGTGGCAGAGGTGCAGATCTAGCAGTTGGTTGTCACCT